GACGCAGGTACGGGGCGCTGGGCCGGGCGGGCAGGCCTTGTCCCCGAGCCGGATTGTGCCGTACATGGTGGGGTCTGAGAACAGTCTCTCGGCTTTCTATTTCTTCAAGACCTTTCAGGGATTGTGGGAGCAGAGCTTGGCCTGGGGGGCCCGGGGCCTGTGGCCCGGTTCGTGGACTGCAGCGGGAACTCTGGAGCGTGGCTCGGCCTTGCTTCTGTGAGCTGGCCTGGCCCTGCTCCACACGATCGCCCAGCTGGCGTGTCCCCAGGCCCCGCGCGCGGCCGGGAGCAGGGATTGCAGGTCTCGTGGGCTCCAGGGGGCCCCCACCCTGGGTTGGTGCCTCATCGGGCACAGGCCACTAGGGACGCCACAGGACGGCCCAGGTGGCTCTGCAGCTGTGGCCTGGCCACTCTGAGGTCACCATCCCTGGGCCTGTTTTCCGTCGACCAGACGGGGTGACCGGGGGCACCCCCAGACAGCTGTGGGGGAGGACACGGGCCCAGGACCTCCTGCCCCATGTACGTGGTCTCGGCTCACCACCCGAGACCCTCTCGCGGCTTCCAGCGACCCCTCCAGGAGCCCCCGGCCCCCGAGCTCTGTGGTTGAACTCCTGGCTGGAGGCAGGGGCGGGCCGAGGCGGGTGCTGGACTCGGCTCCTTTGGGTTTGAATCCTGTATGTGCCCCTGTCCGGGCCAGGTCCCCACAGCAGGTCCTGAGCCTCAGGGGGCACCTGTGAAAAGCGCACAGTGACAGCCCCTCCCCCGGCCTCAGGTCATCACGGACGTGCTCGCTTAGCATTGTAGGGCCGGGTCCATCCAGAATGTCCACACCGCAGTGGGTGACCCCATGCATCCTGTATGGGCCGCCGTGCACTTAATTCTCACAAAATGCCGTGACGTGGGTGGGCGCACCTGCCCCCAGCAGAGAAAGCAGGCACTGGGGTTACAGGTGAATCAGGTTCCTGGCGCTGCAGCGACAGCACCACACACGGGGACCTGACTCTCCTGATCAGGGGCCCAAAGTCCAAAATCACGGTGTCCCCAGGGCCCGGCTCCCTCCAGGCGCTCCTGGGCGGCGGGCCACATCCTCCGTGGTCCTGTGGCCCCCGCCCCGTGTCTGTCTGTCCCCTACAAGACACCTGCTGAGGTTCCCCGATGGGCAGGAACCAGGTCAGACCAAGGTCTGCGTGGGCCCACAAGGTATTTGTTCGGGACGCGCCCAGTGAGCGCTCCGACCACACGTCCCCAAGCCTGTTCCGGGCTGGAAGGGCACCGTCCCTCCCACGTTTATGAAGTGCTAGCTGTAACCGTGGAGCCCCGTCCGTTTACTGCACCGACGTCCTTGTGAGCGGGAGTTTTCGTTCCCACGGTCCAGGCGGGCGGGGCGGGGCACGCAGGGCTCTCCCGGCCTGTCGACCCCACACGTCTGTGCTCTGGGGCCACACTCCCCGCTCCCGGGCTGCTGCGGACCCAGCAGGCGCCCCCCGGGTTTGTCCCACGTACACTGAGCAAGGAGGGTAAAGCCGGAAGGGAGAGGCCACCCTTGACGGTGAGCAGCGGGCAGCCCCTGGGGTGCGCAGGTGGATGGCCCGGCGGGGGTGGGGGTGGGGAGGTTGGGAGCCGCCGGCTGTGGGGCCAGGCGAGGCCGTTATAGGAACCAGCGGGAAGGGAACTGTCGGGAGAGATTGGGCTCACTTCCTCCTCTCTGGCTGTGACTAGGAACCCCACACCGAGGCCTGTCACCGGGGGCCCTGCCTGCTCGGACGTGTCTGTCACCGAGCAGGTGGGAGGGCCTTGGAGCCCAGGGAGCCTCCCCTTTCCTCAGGAAGCTGTCCCTGAGGCTGCTGGGAGCCTGGACGATGGGCCAGTCCTGACCCACGGGTGGGGGCGGGCAGGCCGAGAGGCTGACACCCGGCTGCAGGGCCCCCCTCACTCGTATCCAAGGCGGGGACGTGGACCTGTCCCCTGAAGGGTGATGCGGCCAGGCGGGACGGGGAGCTTGGGCCCCTGCGTGGGCTTCAGAAGGGAAGGGCAGAAGGACGGCAGGCTGGCCTCAAAGCCCCTTGAGCATCCTGGTCCTGACACCCACCTGTGGTCGGCAGCGGTGCGGGAGCAGCTAGTGTACGGAGCAGAGTTGGTGAAACGCGGAGGGAAAGAAACTACGGAGGCCAGGGCGTGGCCGGGGGCTGGGGAGGGTGGTCCGCACGCGGAAAGATGCGGAAGGGTCCTCATGCTTTACAAGGAGGGAGACGGTATGGGGACCAGGGGTCGGGGGTGCAGGGCTGGAATGACATCCCACGAGGCTGCGTGGAGACGGCTCTGGGCATCCGCAGTCCGGAGCGGGTTTCTTTCCCTGGGCCCTGGCTGCGTCCCTGGAGAGGGGAGGGGCTGCCTAGCCAACGGGGGGGGGGGGGGCACCCCCAGGCCACACCCCTCGGATGGGAATCAGGCCCGGTTGGAGGGGGGCAGGGGGCCCCTGGAGGCATCAGTCCTGTAAGCCTTGGGGTTCTTGGGCTGCCAGGGGAGTGCTGGCCCCTGTGGGGGGGCAGACGGCCCGTGGTGCCCCCGCTTCTCTGTGGTGAGGGGCTGGCTGGGAGCAGGGCCACACGAGGGGCACCAGAGTAACTGCCACCGGAATCACGGGGAGGGAATCGTGGCTGTTCCGACCTCTCTGTTCTGTCTGTCTCGTTTGGACTGTAGAGGCGTCCTGGCTTCGAACCGGCTGAGAGGGTCCCCGGCAGGGATGGCTCTAGCACTTCCGGGCATGAGATGGAGGGTCCGCGGGGAGGCCGGCCGGGCAAAGCCCCTGGGGGCCGAGTCCCCATCCAGGAGCCTGGGACGTGAGTGGCTGCCTGTGCCACCGGCTGAGCCACCACCACTTGCCCGGCGCCCTGAGACGCCTGCTGGCATCCAGTGTCTGGAGTCTTTGGGGACAAGGGGCCACCCGTGGCTGGACCGAGCGTGTTGAGGGCTGAGCAGGGTCTCCCACAGGAGCCCTGAGCACTGGTCCCCAAGGCCAGGACGAGGGCAGGCCGGGGCCTCACCGCTGACCGCGCGTGTCCCGTCCACCTTGGGAGGAGCACTTGGTGGGAGCGATCGCCTGTCCCCTGGGATGGGGGCTGAGGGTCTGGGCCCCCGCCGCTGCTCCGCACTCGCCCGGCTGGTGTGCTCAGAGCCCGTGGGACACTCGGGCGTCCGGCTGCCCCTGGGCCCTGCCCCGTGCTGCTGCACATGGTGCCCACCTCCCCCAGCGCCCCCCTGACTGCCCGGTGCCCTTCCCCTCCCTCCAGTGTCACGAGAACTCTCTGCCCCAGAGCGAGCACGGGCACGTGCGGGCGGTGACAAGCAGGTGTCCGAGGTTTCTGGGAGCCCGGCTCCCTCTCCAGTCCTCGGGCTGGGGTGTCTGGAGGGAGGCGGGAATGGGGGCTTTGACGGCATGGGGTTCTGTGAACGGTCTGAAAATGTTCCGTGCTGGGTCTGACAAAGGTCCAGCCGCCCCTTGTTTTTGGTGAGAACTTGGGGCGAGGAAGTAAACCCGAGGCCCAGAGCGGCCCTGTCTCCTCCATCCGTTCTGCCCTGGTACCAGAGGGAACTTTCCGAGGCACAGAACCAAACCCGCTACCCCGGGCCTTCATGGGGTGCCCCACACCTTCGGGGGCCTCCCCCTCAGCTGTCCTGCACCCCAGACCCGCAGCGTCTCCACGGCTGCCCCGGGTGCGCCCCGCCTCCTGCTGCGGGTACAGGGTGCCAGCAGGGACACAGGACGGCGGGGGGCCGGGGGGCCGCCCAGGCTGGGGGCTCCACGCCGCTGTCCCCTAGCTCTCCGGCCACTGCCCGGGCCCTGCTCTCCGGTATCCGCCGGCAAGGGTGCCGGGAGGAAATCGTAGTCGTGTTGTCCCGGGAGAGGGGGCGCGGGGGGTTTTCCTGTCTCTGCTCCGAGCGGAGGGATTCCCGCCGGCCTGTTCCGGGTTTGGTCTGGAATCTCGCAGCTGGTCACCTGGGATCAGGGAGGCCCGAAACGAGGGGGATTCCCTTAATGGTGCGTCTGGCCTTGCTTTTACCAACCTCCGTGCGAGCCGTGAGCGGCAGGGCCATCCCTGTCCCCTGTGTCCCCAGCCCTGGCCCTGTCACCCCATGCGTCCCGTCTGAAAGGGGACTCTTCTCCTGGGTCCTGAGTGGTGACAGAGCCCCAACCCAGGAGCACGGCCCGTCCATTGGTGACAGCCTCCAGGGGTGAGTGCAGCGAGGTGACGGCTGCTGGGGGGAGGCTCCAGGGCCCCCCGGGGCGGGGAGCAGAGGCCCGTTCCACCTCGGTCCTGCCTCGGCCACCTCCTCCTCCTCTGCCGTCGCCACCTGCTTCCTCTCCTCCGTGGCCGCCGGAACCGGCCCGTTTCCTGACCCCTGCGGGAGCCCAAGCCTCTTCCGGTGGGAGACGCAGAGCCGCTGAGCCCGCTGGCAATCGGGCCACGGTCACCTCGGAGCTGAGGCGAGTGTGAGTCGGGCCCGAGTGGCCGTCTCTGGGGGCATCGGTCTAGGCCGTGGCTGGACCCGGACACGTGGGGGGCTCGTCTCACGTCCCAGGCGCCAGGCCCCCGGCCCCCGCGAGGGCCTCTGCTCTGTGCCCTGTTCCCGCGCGTCTGTCGGGCGCTCGCAGTGCTGACGGAGCCGCCGGGACGGGTCGGCTCTGAGCTCCTCCCTCGGGCCTGTCGTGGAGCCGGAGCGGGACCCCTCCCCTGTCCGCCTGCCGCCGCCACGGAACGCGGCACACGCCACACGTGTCTTGGGAAGAGCATGTTGCGTGGGGTTCAGGGGTTCGGAGGGTCGTCCTGGCCGGAGAAGCGGTGACAGACAGACAGACAGACTTCTGAGAGGAAGCGGAGACGCCCTCCAGGCGAAGGGGAGGCTTCTCTCTTGTCCCCAGCCCCGTGGCAGCCTCTCCGGGGGGCACCAGTGCTCCCGGAGCGGCCTCACGGCGGCCCGCCACCCTCTCTCTCCCCGCAGCGCGCATGCGGAGCCCCGGGGGCTGACGATGCCGCCGCCCGTCATGGAGGGCCCGGTGGACACGGCTGTCGAGGGGCCCTCGGGGGACGGCGGCGGCAGCGGCCCCAAGGTCCAGGGAGCGGCCGTGAGCGCATCCGTCGTCTGGGAGCAAGCGGGGCCCGAGGAGGCCGAGGCTCCGGGCAGGGCCGGTGAGTACAGTGCGCCGTCCGCCAGCCGCCCACGACGCAGCCGTGGCTGCGGCCACAGTGTGTGTCGGAACAGAATCCTGTGCCCAGTGGGTCACTGGGAGGGACGGGGACGGGGCCCAGCCAGTGATTTTTCAGGGCTGCGTGTCCGTGATAACACAAACTGGCATGGCGACGGGGGAGGGCCTGGGAAAGTTCTAGAATGGCTGTGCCCTGGTGCACGGCTCTGTCACAAACCTCTGCGTCCCCGCAGTCCTCTCAGGACAGACAGCACTGGGGCGGCTCAGGATGGGACAGCCTCATCCCCAGGGGCCAGCCAGGACCGGGCTGGGAAGATGAACCCCGAGACGTGGGCACACGAGGGGGCCAGCTGTCATCCTCATTGTCACTGGCCAATGCTTGACTTGGGCCTCAGTTTCCCCACTTGGAAACCCGAGGTGATCTCCAGGACCCCCCTCCCTACCTCCTTGTGCCTGGGGGTGAGGGAAGGAGGGGGGCAGACCCCCCCGAGGCAGGGACAGCCTGTACCTCCTGCCCTCCCCACACTCCCCTGCCCTCGCATCTCCTCCCTCCTCCTGGTTGCTGGGGCTCGGCCCAGGGAACACTGGGTGCACTGGGAGAATGGGAACGGAGCTTCACAAGGCACATCCTGTGGATGTACACACCTTCCGGGTGTGTGGGACGTGGAAGGGCCAGGGTGGCCCCCCTGGGTGCTGACGCCCGCCCGGCCAGCAGAAGCCCGGGCTGTCGCTCGGTTCCGGAGCCCGACCTGCGCTCTGGCCCCCGTGTGAGCCCCCTCCGCCAACCCTGCCCTTCGGGGTGCCTCCGTAATCCTGGCTGGGCTGCCGGCCGCGCCCCACCCACCTCACAGGGCCGAGAGGGGGTTCGGTTCACCCTCGGTCAGCGACTGGGACAGACGGACCGGGACACAGCCCTGTCTGCCCCAGACTCTGGGGTCCCCCCGGGCTGTCGCCTCCCCTCTGGGGTCAACAGAATGGTGGCCCCAAAGAAGTCCCTATCCTACTCCCCAGAACGTCTGGCAGAAGTGATTGGGGGTGGGGCAAGCTGAGGAGCCTGAGATGCGGGAAAGCTCAGGGCCAGAATCAGAGACACCGAGGCTGCCTGTCTATGAAGTCGGAGGAAAATCACAGAACAAGGTGGGGGGCGGACAAGCTGGAGACAGACCCCCACCCCACCCCCACCCCCCGGACCCCCCAGGAGGAGCCGGCTCTGCAGACACTGGGATTTCAGCCACTGAGAGCTTTCCAGACTCCAGCACAGCAAGATGACACACTCGTGCTGTTTTCAGAAGCCGCTAAGCCCCGGGGGCGGGGGGGCAGGTGTTAGAGCGCAGGGAAACCCTCACCCCGTCCGTCCTTGTCCCCTCGGGCTTGTGTGACCGGGAGGAAGAGAACTCGGGAGGCCGGGGGTTGGTAGGCGTGCGGACACCCCTCTTTCCTTCCAGGAGACTTGGGGGGTTTGTGCCTGAACAGCTGCGAGTTGCCCGTTCTGACCCCGATCCCCCAAATGTGCTGTGTTACAGATGCTTCTCCCGCCGCTGGCGGCCCTGGGCCGGCTGCTGGGACCCCTCCAGGCCACATGGGAGCCTGCCCCACAGGTAGACGTCCTCAAAGCCACATGGGGCCGAGGGGCTCGGTCTGGGCCGGACGGGAACATGGGGTCTCCGGGCGTCCCCCTTTGCTCCCAGCCTCCCTTTCCCGTGGCCCGTGGGTTTAGGAATGTCTAACCCAGGGATTTTGAAAGTGTGGTGCCCCGACTTCCTGCCTGGGGGTCCCTGGTGGGTGAGGAGACTGCTTCCGTGCCGATGGCCAGGTCCTGTGCCCGGGTTCTGATCCAGCCCGGCGGGGTCGGGCCCAGGACTCTGCGTTTCCGCTTGGGGCCTGGAGTTTGTCTGCATTTGGGAAGGGCTTCTGCGGGGTCTGTGTTTGGAGGGGACATGGCCCGGGAGGCTGGGCCACATGCAGGGGAAGTGCCACTCGGGGGAGGGGTCGCAGGTGGGACACGGCCGTGTTAGGGACGCAGAGGGAGGAGCGGCGGCCAGGGACCGACGTCTGGGGAGGGGGCTCCGAGGGTCAGCGGACCTTCTGCAGGGTGCAGGGAGGGGGGCCGCCCCGGGTGGTGGAGGGAGAGGGGGCAGTGAAAACCCCCTGCCCCCCAGCTGCGGTGGCGCAGGAAGCCTGTCCCTTCGGCGCGGCCAGCACCGCCTGTGGTCACTCGGGGCGCCCAGGCGTGGGGGCCAAGCGGCAGATTGGTTTTGGGTCTGGAACAGCAGCCACAGGTGTGCGGTCCGATACAGCAACGCAGTTTATGTTTACGTTTAACCTTAATAAAACTTAGAATCTAGTTCCCACGGAGGCACTGGCCACATTTCAGGAGTACCATGGTCCCCCGTGGCTGGTGGCAGCCCTTCAGGACATTGGATGGCAAATGCCTGGGGGTGGGGGCAGCTGAGAGCTGAGGCGTGCAGCAAGCCAGAGCTCAGTGTCAGGGGATCCTCTGGTCTCCTTGGACCAGAGGACAGTCCACAGGGAGGGCGGGGCCCGGAGTGGCCCAGGGGCATGACCCGGGGCCCTGGGGAGGAGTGCCGAGGGGGGTTGGGCCTGGTTTTGCAGTTCGCTGGTGGCCCCAGGCGCTGTGTGGTGCAGGGAGGTGTCCCTGTGCAGGATGGGGGCTGGGGCCCTTTTGGAAACGGGAAAGAGGCAGAAGAGTCAGTTTGCGGGACGGGACGGTGAGTTCTGGGGTGCCTGTGGGTGCCTGCTGGAGCGCGAAGTCCCCTGTCTGGGGCTCGGCGGTGGGAGAGCTCAGGGCTGGAGGCCACGCTGAGTCCGCTGACTTTGCTGAGTGCTCGCCGGCCGCTGTCCCTCCCAGACCTGACCTTGCAGCTGCTGGCCGTGCGGAGGAAGACGGGGCTGCCGGACCCCAGCCTGCAGCAGACGGTGCGGGCGCGGCTCCGTCTGCTGGAAAATGACAGCCGCGAAGTGGCCAGCGTGCTGGGGGTGAGTCTGGCTTCTCTGGGTGGAAACGAGCCTGCGTGAGCAAAGGTGCGGGGGCTCCAGGCTTGAGAGCAGGGACAGGGGCTGGGGTGGCCCCGGGAGGAGGAGGAGGTCCCTGCGGCATGTGGGCATCAGCACAGCGGCAGACCCCAGATAAGCAAAGTGGCCTCCGTTTTCCATCTGTCAGTGGAGCGCCGGGTAGCCAGCCTGCTGTCCCTGGTGCTGGGAGTCACAGAGAGCGGGGGGGGGGGGGGGGGGGGGGGGGGGGGCGTTGCGGGGAGCGCAGAGCACGGAGCCCACAGGGGCTCAGGGAAGGAGCCGAACTTGGCACTGAGGAGCCATGCCTGCTGGAGGCCCCAGCCTCTGGCTGTGAAGGGATCGGCTCTGTGCTTCCACAGAGCAGGTGTCTAGGTCACCTCTGCACAATGTTTCTGTTGTGTGGTCCTGTCCCCCCGGGGTGGTCGGATGCCTGACGGCCCCCGGCTCTGTCTTCCCCATAAGGAGTTATCGGCCAGGCTGCTATCTATCCACAGTGACCAGGCTCGGATTGTGGTGACGTTTAAGACTTTCGAAGAGATCTGGAAGTTCTCCACCTACCACGCTCTTGGTAAGGAGGTGACCCTCCCGGAGCTGGTTACGGGGACCCCCGCCTCGAGGACACGTGTCCCACACCTACACGTTATGTCACACACCTAGCTTCAGGTCAGGGTCGGTCACAATGGCCTGGGCAGTGGGCCTCGCTCACCTGCTCTCGGGGAGGAATGGGGGACGGGAGGGGCGCGGAGGCACGCCCGTCTGGGCCGACATCTGGGCCGCGCTCCCAGTCCTTTCCGGAGCTGCGCCCTCCTGCGGGTGGCTTTGCGGCCACACCTCCAGGGACGCTGAGCTCACACCAGCTGAGCACAGATCCGGTTATTTCCAGCTCAACCAAAGAGCTTTCTTCCTAAAGCGCCCCCAGGCTGTTGGGAGGCATCTGCGGGGGGGCTGGCGCGACCTCTCGGGGCCTTGCTCCAGCACCTGGGTCTGAGGATGGACAGAAGGGACAATAGAGCAGCAGCGTCTCGCCCCCCGAGCGCGGGGCCTCTACCAACCCCCGGCACCCTCGATCTCGGATGCTCCTGACCCGTCTCAGAGACCGGGAGGCTGAGGGTCAGACACGTGCGCTGTGTCGCCCATGGTCGCGGCCGGTCCCCTCACAGCCCAGATGGTCAGACCTGGGGCTGCCGGGTTGGAGCGGAACCGTGGGTCCCCAGGGCGGGGCGGGGCAGGGCGGGGCTGCCCCACCCCCACCGGCTGGGGCGTGAAGGCTTCGAGTCTCCCTCTGGGGGCCAGCCGGTCACCAGGCCCTTCTGGCCCCCAGGCTTCACTCACCACTGCCTGGAAAACCTGCTTGTGGACCAGGCCTTCTGGCTGCTTGCGCCCAGCGAAGACGAGGAGACGGCCATCCGAGTGCACGTGGACCAGGAGGCCTTGGCGCAGACGCACCAGAGCCTCCTCGCCCAGGAGGGTGAGCTGCGTGGTGACGGCGACCTTGGCCGGCTCCCCTCCTGCTGGGGCCGTGGGGGCCGCGGGAGGGTCCTGGAGGCTCGGCGTGCTCGCAGGGGCTGACGGGGGCCTCGTGCAGGGAGGGGTACGGGGGGGACCCCAGCCACGAAGTGCCCAGGCCCTGTCATTTGCTGGAAAGACCTGGTCAGGCCCCCAGGAAATAACAGAAGAAGGGTTCCTGCCTGCGCACCACCGTCCCGGGGCCCTGACCCGGGCTCCTGCTTTGAGTGCCGAGGCGGCCCCATTGCAGGGCCGAGTCAGCGGCAGACGGAACGCGAGGCCACCTGTCCCCGCCCCCCCCCCACCCCCGGCTGCAGAGGAGGAGAGGGGTTGCCGGTGTGGCCAGGCTCCCAGTGTGGTCCCAGCAGCCCCCTCAGTCAGGGACACTGAGGCCCTGAGGGTCTGAGGCTGAGTGAGGCTCCCCGGGCAGGTGTGAGCAGAGCTGGGACCCCAGGCCAGGGCCGGCCTTGCCGTCCGGGGGCGGGGGACCCCGCGTGTGGCCTGGCGGGGACAGGTGAGTTGGCCGCCTGTGCCCGGCCACACTGAAGGTCACTCTCTTTCTCTTCAAAGGCCCTTTCTTTGTCCTGTGTCCTGACCACCGCGTGAGGGTGACCACCGGCCCCCGGGGTGCAGGCCCGCAGCCCCTGAGGCGAGCCCCAGGGGCCCCCCAGGGAGAGGCCGCCCCGGACTCCGCCGCGCCCAGCCCCGGCACGTGCTCCGAGGACGCGGCGGCCACTCCGGAACCTTTGATTCCGTTTCATCAGTAGGTACCGACCTTCGTTTCTCCGCCTGTCGCCGGTCTTGCGGCTCATCAGCCCCCCGCCCCCACGCCCAGGCGCTGGTCTGTCCGCGGGCCAGAGGGGCCGCACAGGCTCCAGCACACCTGGTCCTGACCCTGATCTGCTGCTCCCGGCGTGTGGCCGTGGCAGACGAGCCCGGCTCAGGACCGCACGAGGACTCCCCTGGCAGGGCTGGCCTGCGATGGCTCGAGAGTGTGCTGCGCGGGCCCTTGCTTCCTGTTCTGATTTGTTCTGAAAAGCTGTCGGGGGAGCGAGCGCATAACGTGCCCCTGCAGTGAGGAGGCACGTGGGAAACTGTACAGATGAAAACTGAGACAGAGAAAGCCTGGGGAGCACACAAGTCCCTGCTCGGGAGCTGAATGTGGGGCATTGATTGGCTTGGAGCCTCCTGGCGGCCAGAGTAAAGAGAGAAACTCGATGACCTGATGTTTAGAAATAGCTGACATAGCTGGCAATGGCTTGGCTTCGGTCCCGGGCTAATGGAGGGATGTGTCTCAGGATGCCAGCCTCAGGGGCACCTGAGCTGGGCGGCACGGGACTCCCGGGGCAGGCGTGTGCGTGCGTGCGTGTGTGCGTGTGCGTGCGTGTGTGTGTGTAGTTGGTGGCAGGTGGTGCAGTTTGCTGGGGTCCCTGGGTGCTGCTGACTTCTCCAGTCTACACAGTCCACTTGCCTCACCTCTGAGACCCTCTCCTGTCCCCTCTAGGTGGGCTCTTAGGGTCCCCTGGGACCCCATTGATGACTCCATGTGTGGCCCCGTGACATCAGATGTTCCACTGATGGGTAAGTGCTTTCGCTGGCCTTGCTCCCCTGGGAAAGGGGTGGGCGTTCTGGAAGCTTCTGTGCTCACACTGAATCCTCCCCAAGCCAAAAGGGGAGGCAAGAATCCACTCCAGTTCACGTTGTGACAACTTAGGCTCAGAGAGGCCCCCAGCTGGTCCAGATTTCGGTTCACACAGTGCGGCGGGGCCGGGCTGGGTCCCTGTCACCGCCTCCAGGGAGCCGCGAGGGTTCCGTTCACAGAGCACCTCGGAGCACCGCTGGGCGGGCGGGCGAGGCTCCGGCCGAGTTTGCCGTGTGAGCTCACGGAGGATCTGGAGGCTACGGTCTCGTTCCCTTGAGGAGCCAGCGTGGGCCTCTGACTTGGGCTCCCGGCCCGGTGCTCTCTGCCCTTCCCCGAGCTGGCTGGCGCTGGGATGGCCCTGTGGCCCGCGAGGTGTATGTTTACAGCTGCCTCTGCCTGGGCGGCCCTGGCGGTGGACGGCCCTGGGCCTCAGTTTCCCATCCGCATTGGGTGGATAAAGGCCCCCCTCTTGGGTCCCCCAGACGTCCAGCCCCTTGGGTGCAGGGGCCACCCCGACCACCTGGTCCTGGATCAGAGCCCCCCAGGCTGCACCCCCAGCACTGACCTTGAGGCCTTCTTTCCGCAGCCGTGGGCCTGGCCTCAGCAGTGGCAGACTACCAGGGCTCCGGGCCTGAAGAGATGACCCTCCGAGGCGGCGATGTCATCGAGATCCTGGGCGCCCGGGTGCCCGGCCTGCCCTGGTGCCTGGGCCGGCACGTGGCCTCGGGCCAGGTCGGGTTTGTGCGGACGAGTGTCATCACTGTGCAGGGCCAAGTGTCCGAGTGAGTGGCTGAGGCCCTCCCCCTCCCCAGCCCTCCTGCCCCCGCGGCGGCCTGCCGATGCCTGGACGCGGGTCGCCCCCCCCCCCCCGGGACGGCGCTCCCTCCTGCCCTTCCCCCGCGCCTGGCCCCACTGCCTCCCAGGTGCCCGGGGAGGAGCCATCCTTCCAGCCCCTGGTGGCCGCCACCCCGGTCTCTGCCTCCGTCTTCCCATGGCCTCCTCACCCCGCCACGCGTCTCCGCGCCTCGCCCCGTAAGGACACCGGTCCCTGGATTAGGCCCCCACCCCTGTGTGACCGCGTCTCGACTAGTTTCATCTGCGAAGACCCCTCATTGAATAAGGTCGCTTTCCGAGGTTCTAGGTGGACATGAATTTTGAGGGACACTATTCACCCCCATACTCCATGCCACTCCTGTTCTTTTCTTCTTTTAATGTTTATATCTGAGAGAGAGAGAGCGTGAGCGGGGCAGGGGCAGAGAGAGAGGGAGACAGAATTGGAAGCAGGATCCAGGCCCTGAGCTGTCAGCACAGAGCCCGACGCGGGGCTCGAACCCACAGACGGTGAGATCATGACCTGAGCCGAAGTCAAGTGCTTAACTGACTGAGCCACCCAGGCGCCCTGATACTTACTTTCATAAAGCCCTTTCAAGATTCTAGGCCTGGCCTTCAAGGCCCCCGGCGACCCAGACCCCAGTGACTGCCGTGGTCGAAGGCTGCCACTTGCTGTCAGATCACCTTGCATCCAGCTGTGCGGGTCTGTTCACCCCTTCCAGAACAACTCTGCTTTGCTGTGTGCGCCCCTGCGTGAAGCGTCTCCTCCATTCCGCCCTCCAGTTTCCCCGGGGGCTCTCAGCGGCCCCCCTAGCCCCATCTCCAATGGCTCATCTGCTCTCCCTGTGGGACCCCCACACCCTGCTCACCCCCACCCTGTCTGGAGAATTCTGAGGGTCCCCAGGGTGTGGCCCAGGCAGCACAGCGCGTCCTGGGAGGGTGGGCAGTGGGCAGAGCTGTGCCCGTTCTTTGGGACAACTCCGTCCCCCGGGGCTTGAGCCTTCATTGTTAAGACCTCAGTCACGAGCCCAGAGAAGGTGGGTGTATGGACAGGGCCTTCACTAGGTCTGGACCCGGCCTCCTACGCATGTCTTCAGGGGGGCCTCTGGCCCCGACACCCGGCGGCCTGGGCAGGAAGCCTGGAAAAGCCGCGATGACCCCCTCATCCCTCCACAAACGCCTGCCCCACGGCTTTCCTGGTCCAGGCCCTGGGTTTTCGTCCTCTGTTCAACGAGCCACCTGCTGCCTAGGATTTTTCTTTTGCTTTATTTTGGCACAATTTCAGGATGGGGGGATGCAAGAGCGCAAAATTCGCGGACTCCCTCCCCCAGATCGCCCGGGTGTTAGAGGGGGGTCACGTGCGTTCCCCCCTTCCCTCGTGTATTGGCCTCCTGAGGGGGGGTTGTAGGGTGCGTGTCCCCTGAAGCCAGGACACCGCCTGCGCCACCCTGCCCAGCCTTCAGGATCGGGACGGTGACGGAGCGGCCCCTGTGGCCACATCCAGGGTCTGCCGGCGCCCCATCGTGTCCTCGAGAACCAGGGAATGTTCCAGACCCCGGGCCACCAACCTCCTCCTGAACTCAAGACCCTTCCTTCGTCTCATGGTCTTTTAGGACAATGGGGAATACTGGCCTGTTGTTCCGTCGAATGTACCAGAAGCCACTCTGATTTTCTTTAGCTTCTCAAAGTAGCTCCTCGTGGTTTCAAAGCGCATTTCAGAGTTTCATGCAACACTGGTGGTTTAGCCTCGTGAGCAAAGATGGCCGCTTCCTTCTCTCCCTTCCCCTCTTCCGGTTTCTCATCTCCATGACTTGGCAGAGACGGGAGGGGCCCGTGTCCGTGGGGGGCGCCGGCAGAGGCCAAGTGGGGAGCCCGGGAGCTCGGGATGGGGCGGGGCTCACCTGCACATCCGCTCACGCACACGCCTGCACACACGCATACGTGCAGTACGTACATTCTGCCTGCAGCTGTCCCAACCCGCCTCGCAGGGAAGGGGCGTTCGAAGTGGGGCTTTGAAGGCTGCCCAGGGGCTCGCCTTCCCCGGCTGCCGTGACCCAGGGGGTCTGCTCCCGGACCAGCTGGACCAGGCAGCCTGTGGCTATTTGGTTTTTGTCTCGGTGGCTTTGTCACCGGGCACGGAGCAGGTGTGACAGGGCTGTCACTGGGGGCCCGAGTAGATGGGGCCCGAGTGGCAAACGCGCTGTTGTAAATCCAGCACCGTCTGTTCTCCAGGCTGGAAAACGTGCTTTTCCTCAATGAGGAAGAAAGGTCGTTCTTCAGCGACGAAGGACGCTTCTCTGACGAGGAGGCCAGGCAGTTACTGAGGAGGGTGTCGGGCGTGGACGTCTGCACGGCGTACAGCTTGGGTAGGTGCGGGGGGCGGGGGGCGGGCTGCGCAGGACCCGCATCGGGCCCGGGTGCTTACGGTGGTTTCCGTGGGTAGGTTCCCGAGAGGACGGGAGGGTTGTCGGCAGGTGGGCCCCCGGCCCCGGGGCAGCGCGAGCCCCAGCTTACGTGCCCCTGTCCCCTCGGCAGGGCGTGGCCCGTTCCGCTTCCGCGCTGCTCAGGGCGCCCCTCCCCCTGTCCCTTGGAGAAGGCCCAGCCTGGGCACCTGAAAGGGTTCGTGGGGACCGCAGGAGGGCTAGGCGCAGGGAGGGGACGGCCCCGAGGCCCCCTGCCGCCCAGGGGTGCCCAGCGTCCCCTGGGGCCTGGCCGCTGCCCATGCGCTGCTCCTCCGCCCGTCTGTGTGACAGTGACCCGCTCGGTGACGGGACCAGGAGCCGGGGCTCGCGTGGCTGTGGCCTAGCCTGGCTGCCTGACCGCCAGGGGCCGGGGATGGACCCTGGCGCTGCCACCACCTAGAGACGGTGCTGCTGGCTCTCCCCACACTACCCTGCAGTGCCGGGCGCAGCAGAGGGGACAGGGGGGCGGACCTGCTGGGGGCTTCCAGGGGTGAGTTATTGCCACTTCCTTCATCCTGTGCACGCATACACATGTATGCAGCACATGCGTGTGCTCTAACACACATGCAACACACATGTGCGCACACACTAGCCGGTTCCTTCGTCCTGTGCATGAAGCTGAATCCACACGTGCACACACACACACTTACACATACGTGCGGTGCATACATCGCAGACTTACACATATGTGCAGCACACATATAACCCCCATCCACCTGTACCTACACATCCATGCGCACACACAGCCACACACATACATGCAATGCATAGACACGCACACTCTTACACATGTGTGCAGTACACTCACGTGCATATGCACGCTGGCACATATACTTACACACCCATATGTGCATACGTGTGCGCACACATGTGTGCAATACACGCATGTTCGTGTACACATGCATATATACTTAAATGTGCACACACTTATATATATGTGCAATACATCGGTGTGCATACACACCTATGCACATACACACACTTACACACACATACATACAATATATACACCCACACACATATTCCGACATACCTATGAATGCACACATGCAATGCATGCACACGTACATGCACACATACCTACACACCCACACATGCACACACGTGTGCACACACACTTCTCACAGCCCTGGAGCTGACATGCACAGCGGGAACTTTTCCAACAAGGACAGAGTTCAACTTTCTAGGTCCCATGAATTGGCTTCTCTTTCTAAACAGGCAAACTTAAATTTGACCTTAGCACATATGTCAGCCCCCCACTCGGGGGGACGTTCTGGGGGCCCTCTTCTGCTGGGCGCCCCTCAGCTTCCCGGGAGCCTGCGCATTTGTCATAGTTGACATCACACTTCATGTGTCTTTTCCCAGCAAACTGTTAGTGTCAGCCCATTTTTAGGAGGTGGAAACTGAGGCTTAGGGAAAGGCCCGGCCCCTCGACCCGGGCTCCCCCCCAGCCCTGCAGCCCCTCAGGCCACCGGGGTGTTACTGTCCTGGTGTCACCACCCCTTCCGACACGGCCCCGACCCAGAGGTGCCGGCCCGAGGGTGATGCGTCTCTTCTCTCCCTTCTCAGACAGTTTAGAAGAAGCCGACTGTGAGCCACTGGAAGAGCAAGGTGGGTCCTTCCCACGCGGCAGAGTCTGTCTGGTCAAGGGGCTGGGCCCCGGCTGTGATGCCCGGCAGAAGCCGGGTGTGGATGGGGTGCTGGGCAAGGACCTCACACCTGCTGGGGGAAGGCGGGAGGGGGCGGTCCTGCAGGAGGAGGGGATGAGGTGGGGGCCAAGCATCCCCTCTGCTGCAGTAGTTGTCCCCTGCAAACACACCAGCTAAGGTGCGGGGTCCCCTCCGCTGTCCGGGCCGTGGCTGTCCCCCCCGCTCTATCCCCAGCTAAGGTGCGGGGTCCCCTCCGCTGTCTGGGCCGTGGCTGCCCCCTCAGTCTATCCTCAGCTAAGGTGGGGGGTCCCCTCCACTGCCCGGGCCCATGGGTTCCTTTCTTGAAACCTAGAGCAGCTGAAAGTCTTGGCTTTGAGAGAATGAGATGCTGGGTCTGGAGGGTGGAAGGGGTGCGGGGGCTGGATTTGGAGCCTCACGCTGGAGGAGCCCCTCAAAGATTTGCTGCTTCCCCCGGGAGCTGCTGAAGGGAGACCCCCTCCTTCTCCCTCCACACCTCCATCTTGACCCCCCACAGTGCGTCTGCATGGGGGATACCGGGGGACTTGAATGCCCCAGGACCCTTTGGGGCTCCCTGGGACTGGGGTCCACCCAAGCGTGAACAGGGAAGGGCCGCTTTGGGTGGTCGATGGGGAGGCTTGGAATATTCGGGGCTGTTCCCGGGCCCTCCCTCCCCCTGGGGCTCTGCTGGGCGAGGAGGAGTCCGAGGCAGGACTTGCCGGGATGGGAGGGCTGGGGGTGGCGAGGCTGGGGGCGCATTCACACCTACACATCGGCTTAGTGAGGCCAGACATTGGCTGCTGAGCCGCACTGAATGCTTTTTTATTCCTCGACTTTACAGACTAATAAAGAGAGCGTTAGTTTTGAACATATTTTTTTATGTGAACCCGAAACAGAAGAGCCTTTACATTCTGTTTCTTCTCTTGCAAACAAATTCCCCTTTAAGCTGGGGTTTTCCAGCGGCAAGAGTGGCTGTTTGCTCACTGGATGTATCTTCGGGTACTGAGCGCATCCAAAGGCAACAGCCCTGCACGCGGGCACGCCTGGGAGCGGGCGTCCCCAGGCTCTCCAGCGCCGCGTCCCTTTCTTTTTTAACCCTTGACTAACTGTGGGCCTCAGATTCTCAAAGCAGCCAGGGCGAAGGTGGAGACCCGGGGGGTCTGGGGGCCCTTCCTCGTTCCTAGCAGACGTGGTCGCCGGCGAGAGCTGGACCAGGGCCACCAGGTCCCCCACCGAGGGGGGTTTCATCAGATCTGGGGGGGCTTCTGACCGCACGCTGCCCCGTAGCTCTGATTGGCTCATAATGATTCCACGGGAGTCCCGGCCCGACGGGGGACCCCCAAGTGCTGAGGAAATCCCATGGAGGCGGGGGCAGCCGGGAGTGTGGACGTGTCCATCTGCTAAGTGGCTTTAATCCTTTCTGGAGGGGAAGGACCCTGATCGCGGAGTGGTGCTCTCAAACAGGAAGCCTAGGAAGGGGCTACTCGGTAAAAAACTTGGCCAAATCAATCCTTATTCCGTAACCAGGACTGAGTCCCCACCCCTACCCCGCAAGTGCTATGCGCTGGGCTCAGCATTGTACGTACATCTTGGTGTTCAGGGGGAGGCTCAGGCAGCACCTGGCAGGCGCACCGAGGCTGAGAGGGGGGTCCCTGGGCCCAGAGATCAGACTCTAAGCCATCCGGGCGTTTTGTTGGTTTGCAGAAGTGCCTCCTCCTAACCCGAACCCAGAGCCACGCGAGACCCTGCGGAAGGTTAAGAATGTTCTAGAACAATTCAAATCCGGCCAGGATTGCCCTGAGGAGCCAGCGTCCTGGGGTCTCTGCATGGCATCCAGTGGTGCGCGCTCCCCAGACACGGAGGGGCCCCCCTTCTGCTTGGACGCGGGGGCCGACGCGGGGGCCCTGGGCTCGCTGCTGCTGCTCCTGGACGCGCCTGGGTACGAGGCCCGCCTCCGCGGCCTGTACGACCTCTCCCCGCCGGCACTGAGCAGCCTCGGCCTCGCCGACGAGGAGGAGCTGGCCGGGCACCTGGGGCAGGCCCGCGGGGCAGCCAAGAAGGCGGGCCTCCCCATGGCCCTCGCCAGGATCTGCTTCCTCCTGGGGCGGCTGTGTGTGCGGCGGCTCAAGCTCTCCCAGGCGCGGGTGTACTTGGAGGAGGCCCTGGGGGCGCTGGGGGGCCGCTTCGGCGACCTGCCCCTGGTGGCGGCCGTGTACGCCAGCCTGGCCTCCGTTCACCTGAAGCAGAAGAACAGAGACAAGTGCGCACAGGTGGTGCTCAAGGCCGCGGCCCTGCTCCTGGGGACGCCGGGCCACACGTGCGGCGCCGAGGCCGAGCCGCAGCTCCTGAGGCTGGCCCTGCGGAGGGCCGTCGGCTGCCGCAGCCCCCAGGCCGAGGCCCGGGCCTGCTTCCTGCTGGCCAGGCACCACGCCCGCCTCAAGCAGCCACGGGAGGCCCTGCCCTTCCTGGAGAGGCTGCTCCTCCTGCACGAGGCCTCGGGGTCCCCGGGGGCCGCCTGGGCCGCGGACGGCCACCTGCTCCTGGCCGACCTCTACGGCCGGCAGTGCCTGCCGCGCTTGGCACTGGGCTGCGTCCGGGCCGCCTCGCTGCGGCCGCGGGGCTCGCTGGGCGGCGCGCTCCGGGCCGCGGACCTGGTGCTGCGGAACGCGCCCCCGCTCTGCCGGCCGCCCTCCCAGGCCGCGCCCCACCTCCGGCGGGCGCTGGCCGCCCTGGCCCCGGGCGCGGGGCAGGCGCTGCGCGGGCCCCTCTGCGCCTGCCTGGCCCGGCTGCACAGCGGCCACGGCCAGCACGCCAGGGCCATCGCCCTCATGGTGCGCGCGGCGGAGGCCGCCGGCGGCCGCCTGGCCGTGACCTACCTGGTGGAGCTCGCCTGGCTGCACGTGCTTCACGGCCAGAGCCCCGCGGCCCTGGACATCCTCGAGTCGGTCCTGGACGCGGCGGCCGCCAGCGTGGAACTGGAGGGCCTGATCGCCAACATGGCGGCCGTGGCCCTGAAGACGCTGGGCCGGACCCGGCCGGCGGCCGAGGGCTACTACCGTGCTCTGCGTGTCGCCAGGGCCCGGGGCCGGCGGAGGGACCAGGCGGTGGTCCTGGCCAACCTGGGGGCGCTGTGCCTGCAGGCCGGGGCGGGGGGCCTGGCCCAGCACTACCACCTGGAGGCCGTGAAGCTCTTCTCGCGGCTGCCCAGCGGCGAGCGCGGCGAGGACTTCACCCGGGTGCTGCTGCGGCTGGGCCGGCTGTGTACGCGCAGGGCCCTCGCCCAGCAGGCCAAGTGCTACTACGAGTGGGCCTTTCTGGTCGCCGTGGAGACGGACCACCTGGAAGGTGAGTGTCAGCTCCCCCCGCCCCCCACTCCTCCCCGGGTCGGGGTCGGGCTCAACGGCTTCCTGGAAGCCACGTTTTCTTTCCATTTCCGTCCAGAGCGCGCCCGAGGTTTTCGACTCGGAGGCGAGCGGTGGTTTTTCCACCATCCGGAGTGTCGAATGGTGGGAACCTGCCTTTGAGGCTGGCCGTGGGGTGGCTCTTGTGGGAGCACGCCGGGCTCTGGGCGGGTCGCAACCGCAAACAGTCCCCGTGTGGTCCTCATGGGGGGGCAGTATTCATCGTGATGATGGGTGCTCCTGGCCCCGGCTGGTGGCACCTGCATGTTGAGGAGGGTTTAGCCTGGGATGGGATGGGATGGGATGGAGGGCAGCCCGTGCAAAGGCCCTGGGCCATGCAGGGAGATGCAGAGCTTGGAATAGGTGCCTTGGGTGGTGGGTGGTGAGAACCTTGGCTGGGGGGCCAGGCAGGGCCAGGGAACCCAGGCTGTGGTTTGGCCTTTTCCCCCGAGAACACTGGGGAGCCATCGAGGGTTGTAGAACACTCGAACGCTCACTGAGCCTGGAAGGGGATCCTCTGCATCTCCAGAAGGGAGCAAGGGCTGGGTCCCCAGATGTGCCCAGTGGCCTTGGGTAGGTCCTGTCTGTCCCCCCTGCCCCACGCTGAGCCTCGAGGGGACTGAGGGCCACTCTGCTCCTTTTGAGTCAGTTTTGGTGGGTTGCGTCTCCCTGCGTTCATCCCTTCTATCTGGATTGCCCTTTGTTGGCATAAATCCCTGCTCCTCTCCTGTGACTCTTTTCCTTCCGCCAGCCTGGTGCCAACATCCCGCGTTCGCTGCTGATCCTGACCATTTATGCCTTTTCTTCTTAGTCTGGCTACAGATGAGTCCGTTTTGTTCATCTTCTCAAAGATCTGTCATTCAGTTTCATTCGTTTCCTCTCGTGTTTTTCCGATTCTCAACGTCACTATTTAATCTTTCCTCTTGAGTCTTCATTTGCCTTCCTTTTGCTTTGGATCTAGTCACTTCCTCTCTCGTTCCTTAGGGTGGAAGCTTAACTTTCTCACCTGAAATGTTTCGTCTTTTTTAAGGTAGCCGTTTCCAGCTGGAAAGTCGCTCTAGACACGGCTGCCGGCACCCCGTAGGGTCAGGGTCGGCTGCGCTTTGATTTCCGCTCAAGTCGAAGTTCCTCCCTGTTCCTGTTACAGTTTTTCCCACGAGCCCCTGGCTACTTGGGAGCGCGTTCTTCACGCCCACGTTGGCGTATTTCCCGAACTCCCGTCCGTTACCGATTTCTGGTTTTGTCCCACTGTCGCCGGAGACCAGGCTGTTCCCATCTTCGGTATCCTCGACGGCGACCCCTTTGGTGGGAGGGCGCTCGGCCGTTCCCAGCCGCGCCTGTGGCTTCCTGAGGGAGCGCTGGCTCCGGAATGCCGGCAGCGGGGTTTGAATCGCAGCCCCACTGCGCGCGGTGTGCTCGGGACCTGGTCCTCAGCTCCGGACTCGGTGCAGCCCGTCGGCGTGCTGTGAAGGCAGCCCCGTCCCTCATCCCGGGAGGGGTTCGTGAAGCGGGAGCGGGCAGCCCGGTGCAGGAGCGAGGCTGGGAACACGGGGGGCTGGGACGCGTGCGACGGCCCGTGCCGTGCCTGCGCCGTGCCCCCGGTGCTGGGCTCCTTGGCTCTGCCACCCGGGGCACCCATTAGCCTGTCTGGACTCGGTTTCCCCACGGCGCTGACCCCACCGGAGGCATGGAGGAGGCAGGCACACGGCGGGGGCCCTCGAAGCCTGCGACTGTCCCTGCCGCGCGTGACGGTGACGCCCCCCCCCCTTCGTCTGCCAGGCCAGCTGCGGGCCGTCCAGCGGCTGTGTCACTTCTACAGCACGGTCGTGCCCAGCGAGGCCCAGTGCGTCGTCTATCACGAGTTCCAGCTCTCGCTGGCCCGCAGGGCAGCAGACAAGGTGCTGGAGGGGCAGCTCCTGGAGACCATCAGCCGGCTCTACCTGTCCCTGGGCACCGAGCGGTGAGCACTGGTCGGGGGGGGGCCCTGATCCTGGGGGGACCCCTCAGGGACCTCTTCATTCCCTAGCTGGCTGTCCCACCTCCTCCCCCGGGGCAGGGCGTCACCCCCCCCGCCCCCATCCTGTGTGACGCGCACACTGACCACCCTGGTCAGAACGGGCCCAGCTGGGGACTCGGAGAAGCAGGGAAGGAGCCTGGTTTCCACAGGATGTGGGGGGCGCCTGCCCCTCACACTTGGGCCTCAGTTTCAGAGTGGAACCACTCAGATGTGGTTTATCAGTTGATGTGGATGTGGCTGGCCTGGGGACCCCCCCTTTGGAGAAGCATTGATCAAGGGTCCCCAGGCCAGCCACGTCCACATCACCCAGGAACTTGCTGCCAAAGGCCTCACCCCAGACCTGCTGCAGCAGGGACCCTGGGGTGGGGGGTTGGAGACCACTGGCCTGGGCGTCTCTAAATTTCTGCTCGTGAATGTGCAGCCTGGGGGGGGTGGGGACAGAATGGCCCCCTCCTCGTCCCTGCTTCCTTCCAAAGAGCCTCCTTTTCTTTGCCGGGCGGGCTGAGCCGGCGGGCGGGCGCCGGGAAGCGGCGGCTGTGGCCGACGGGCGGCCGGCCAGGAGGGCCCGCTCTGACGCCCGCTCTCCCCCAGGGCCTGCAGGTCGGCGCTGGACTACACCAAGCGCAGTCTGGGCATTTTCATCGACCTCCAGCTGAAGGAGAAGGAGGCGCACGCCTGGCTGCAGGCGGGGAAGATCTACTACGTCCTCCAGCAGAACGAGCTGGTGGACCTGTACCTCCAGGTGTGTGGCAGGGGGGGCTCGCTCTGTGGCTCCTCCCGCGGGGCACCTGTGCAGCCCCCACCCCTGGACCCGCACCGCCCAGCGTCTTCCACAGCTATCCAAGCCCCCCGGGAGCTGAGGCTGTGCCCCTCACCATGGCCACCACCGTGCTGGTACACAGCAAGTGCTCAATAAGTGTGCGGATGAAACGTCCATTCTGTCCTGGCGTGTCCCCTTAAAAAGCCCAGGTGTCACAGAAGGCCCACTTCCGGTTGCATTCCAAGCATGACATGACTTGGAATAACTTGAGAGACTCGTGGGGCCGATGAGTGTTTTCACTTTCGAGCTCCTGCTGTGTGGTTCCGTGGGCCAGGGGCTGAGGGTCCCAGGGCTCACGGCTGACAGGGCGCAGGCGCATCGGGGCTGCGGGCAGGGGTGCGGTTGTGCACAAATGGGGCGGGGGTGAATCCGGGCGGCTTGAGGCGCAGGTACATGGGGCCAGTGCCCACCTGGGTGGAGGGCTTCCCGGCAGAAGGGGCATCGCAGGGGCAGAGGCCGGAGGCTCACGGGACTGCCAGCAGGGGCTAGGCCACTCTTGTCACTCAGCTGGTGTTTGCTGAGCACCTATTATGGGCCAGGCACCGTGCTGGGCCCTGGACGCGGCAGAGAAGCAATAGCCTCAGTCGTCTGCTGGGAGAGACGGGCAGGTGTGGCCAAGGGACAACAGCGGCCGGGGCGCCAGAGGGGAGAATGCCAGCATCGGGGTGGGCGGCAGCGCGGAGGCACCTCTGAGCGGGCTCCCAAACTCCTCACCAGCCCCTGCGGACCGCCGGCGCCCTAGCTGGGAGGGCCTCCCCGTGGGACGCAGCGGGACATGACGTCCCCACTACACAGGGACTGAACAAGGCCAGTCCCTCTGGGAGGGCTGAGAAGTGGGACAGGAAGGAGTCGCCGGCGCAGGGGCTGTGGGTCCTCGGGTGGCCTCGAGGGTCTGGGGGAGCCTGCGGGGCTCACGAGACCTCTGCTCACCCGCAGGTGGCCCAGAACGCAGCCCTGTACACGGGGGACCCCAGCCTGGGGCTGGAGCTGTTTGAGGCGGCTGGGGACATCTTCTTCAACGGGGCCTGGGAGCGGGAGAAAGCCGTGTCCTTCTACCGGGTGAGCTGGGCAGTGGGGGTGGGCCTCGGCGGGGGGCTTCTGCGGGGGAGGGCGGCAGAGGCCTCCCACCCAGAGGGAGGGCAGCCCCACGCACTCACTGGCTTGGTGGTTTCGCCTGGGATGATCTTGACCCCCACCCCCCGCCTGCGAGGGGCAGAGGAAGGAGAGGCCGCTTGAGGGGCGGAGGCAGCTTTAAGCTTACAGCACCTGAAGCCTCTGGGAGCCGAGCCCTGTTCCATTCTGCAGGGGGGGAAGCTTGCTGGTGGCCCAGGGCCCTGGGGCTGTCAGGACCTCTCTGGGCCGGACAGAGATACCGCGGCATGGTGGGGGGGACGCTCCCTGCGTGCGTTGGGGGCTCTGAGGGCCGGCCGCGGCGGCGGCTGAGGCCTGACCCACCCGCCCGTGCCACAGGATCGGGCCCTGCCCTTGGCCTTGACCACGGGGAACCAGGAGGCCGAGCTGCGTCTGTGCAACAAGCTGGTGGCGCTGCTGGCGGAGCTGGAGGCCCCCCAGGAGGGTCTGGAGTTCGCCCACAGGGCGCTGGCGCTCAGCATCACCCTGGGTAAGCCCCGTACCCCACCTGGAGGGCGGCTCAGAAGGCCAGAGATGGTGGAACCCAGCCCGTCTGCAGGCCGCCTCTTCCGTGCAGGCGGCCTGGGATGCCCCCGGGGACGGCCTGGGGCCACTCCGGACGTGTCACACTCACTGAGTAGCTGGGCTTTCCCTGCCAGCTGACCGGGAGGGCCGGCCAGTGTGCCCCAGAGTCTGCACACCCAGCTTCTCACTGTGCCCTGTGCGTGCCCGTCTGCGTGCCGCCCCTTACGCTGTTCCCAGCCGGGCGCCCCCGGCCCTGGCACCCACCTGTGCTGTTCCGAGCCACCTGTCTTCCCCCCAGAGACAGGGCGGGCGTGCAGCCCCCACGGTGCTCACCTGGCGACTGCCGGGGGTTGTGGGCACGGGGCTGCCGCTCACCCACCAGGAAGGGTCTGTCCTCACGTGTGCAGGTTGACAGGAGCCCCGGGGTTTCAGGGCACAGACTGCCTGGCTTTGGGACCCCCACCTCCCGTCCCGCCTTCCGGGCGCCACGTGCAGGCACAGAGCTGGGGCGGACAGCGGGCAGGCAATACTGGGCCCATTGTGCAGATGGGAAGAGCAAATCTCAGGACAGGAAGCGGCTGGATTGGGTGCCGGCACTGGCCTGAGCCCCCACCCCCGCGGCCATAGCCTCACGCGTGCACCCTCCCGCGTCCCTAGGGGACCGGCTGAACGAGCGAGTGGCCTACCACCGGCTGGCCGCCCTGCACCACCGGCTGGGCCACAGCGAGCTGGCCGAACACTTCTACCTCAAGGCGCTGTCGCTGTGCAGCTCGCCCCTGCAGTTCGATGAGGAGACGCTGTACTATGTGAAAGTGTACCTGGCGCTGGGGGACATCATCTTCTACGACCTGAAGGTGGGTGCGGGCAGAGGGGAGGCGGGGCTCGGGCGCTGGCCGGGTCACCTCCTCCAGGAAGCCTGCCGCTGTGGGCAGAGCCACTCCTTCCTGGAATCCTGAGTCCCCTTGAATCCTCACATACCCCGCAGTTTGCAGCGGGGAGGCCGCTCCGGGCAGCCTGGGGGCTCAGTTCCTGCCCTGTGGGGTCTGGAGGCGCTGGAGCAGGGACCTCACACACCAGAACCTGGAGATGTCTCCATCGCCCCCTGCAGGGCAGAGGCCCCCATCTCCCCACCCGGCCCAGGGGCTCACCTCTCCCTCCCCGTCCTAGGAGCTGGGGTGGCGCTAGGGGACCCCACTCTGTTGGTAGCCCCACCCCTGCCCCCGCCCGCAGCCTTGGCTGTGCACTGATGACACCTGGTGGTCACACGTGGCCACTACAGCCTCCTATGTCAGAGCTAGGGGGCTTTGGGGAGCCTGTCGGCAGTGGTGGGTACTGCAACTTAGTCTCACCACGTTCCAGGCTGTGTGTCCGGGACTCAGTGTGACCCAGGCTCTGTGACCCAGGCTGTGATCCCAACTCTGTGTGGTTGGCTCTGTGCCTGCTTTACTATTCTGGAAGAGTGGAGCCCCCAGGAGGCAGGGAGGAGGCTGAGGCCGGGCAGGGTCAGTTAATCACATATGATTAGCAGAGCTCTGTGGAGCCCCAGTGCCTGGGACCCTGGAGCCCACAAGCCTCGGACACTGTGACCCCACGTATCTGTATGGGCCCCAGGCTAGCCTCTGGGCCGTACCCTCCCCCGTGTCGGGGCCACGGAGCCTGGTGGTGGCGCAGGACTGTGGCCAACAGCACCCGAGCTCTTATACCCAGAGCCCCCTGTGGTCTGCGATGCGTGTCCCTGAGCCCTGGGCCAGCTGAGGGTGGGGTCTGCCCCCGGTCCCAGCCCCCATGTGACGGACGCCTAAGCAGCCCTGCGCAGGAAGGGGAAACGGGCTGGGGAGGCGAAAAACGTGCCCGAGGCGGGGGTCAGGGAGCCGGGCCAGGGGCGGCTCAGCCCCGAGGTAGCCGATCTGACACCCAGGCCCCGGGGATGGAGACCTCGTCTTTCCGCGGTGTCATTGGGCAGGGAGGAATGGGGAGGGCTGAGAAGCCCTGGTCCCTGAGCCCGAGGGCTGGGGGTCAAGTGCGCTTCCTAGCTGCAGTTGGTCAACACCACATCTGTCTTCACCACTGTGACGCCTTGGGGTCCCCTCAGCGGCCACATGCCCAGGAGGGAGAGAGGTCCCTCCGCACCCCCGTACGGGACAGGCCTGGGAAGGCGCCACTCTAGAGGTTGGGGGACCACGGGCACCTTCACCAATGGTCTCCCTGAATGGAGGTCGTCCTTACATGGGGCATCAGGGAGGAAAGAACGAGGCTTGGATAGGACAGATTGGGGGGTGGGTCCCATGTTTGCTGCCCACTAGCCGCTCCAGGCTCAGATGTGTGCACGCACATGCACACGCATGCACACACATGCACACACCACCAGCTCCCACCCACCCGCTTTGGCTAGGTGCTTAGTTAAGATGTCCCCTCCTCCAGGCAGCCCTCCCATTCCACCCCAGGCTGACTCAGGCACCACCCGGGGCTGCTGCAGGCTGCTGGTCACCGTGTGGTCAATGTGGCCCCAGAACCAGCTGTGGCTCCCGGCACTCACCGGGTCCAGTGCCTGCGAGGGGCTGGGGGTGTTTGCGGAACTGCTGTGTGCACCTGCTTTTTCCTTCCGGCTCCTCTGTCTGCGTGGGGGCAGGAGCCAGGGCTGCTGAACTGGGGCTTGTCCTCCGTTCTGGGAGCCGTCGGGAGCAGCAGAGGGAGGGCCGGGTCGTCGGAGAGGCTGGGTGGAGGGGATGGAGAGGCTGGCACGGAGCAGCCTCGGGGCACACAGGCTCAGCCCCCGCCCGCCCCCAGGGGGCGCGTTGGTGTCTGGTCTGGCCAAGCGCACTCTCTGCTTCAGGACCCCTTCGACGCGGCCGGGTACTACCAGCTGGCCTTGGCGGCGGCCGTGGACCTCGGCAACAAGAAGGCCCAGATGAAGATCTACACGCGCCTGGCCACCATCTACCACAACTTCCTCCTGGACCGCGAGAAGTCCCTCTTCTTCTACCAGAAGGCCAGGACCTTTGCCAGCGAGCTCAACATCCGCAGGGTCAACCTGGCCCCGGGGCGGTGCTGGGGGCGGGCGCCCTGGCTGGCCCCTGGGCCCTCGCCCTGAGGACCCCGTCCTCGCCTCTCCTAGTGTCTCTGGGAGGCTCGTTTTCTGGGAAACGGAGGCAGGGAGGGAGGGGCCCGATAGCAGTACATGGTTTTGCGACACTGCAGAAGCCCGCAAGCCCCCTCCCCTGCTCTGCCCCCCGGGGAGGTCCAGGGACCAGGCCCCGTCCTGGGTGCCCGTCTGCTGCTGTGAGCTGGAAGCGCTGAGTGTGACCAGCCATCTCCCCTGCAGCCCCTCACGGTGTGGCCGCAGGCAACTCCTGCCCCTCACACCCATTCAGGCCTGTCAGAGCGGAAGTGGGTGTGGGATTTCCTGGGCGTCTGCTCCCCCTGCCCCCCCGTGCCCCGTGCTGTGTGTCAGGCTCTGTGCTCTGCCGTTAATCCTCAAGCCAACCTCACCGGGCCGCGCCGTTGGGTCTGTTATTGTCCAAATTTCCAGTTGAAGAGGCGGAGGCACAGAGAGGGTAGGTGCCTGGCCCGCCGTCACACAGCAGGCAGGTGGGGCAGGTGGTAAGCACAAGCCACCTGCCCACCCACCTCACGGGATATGTCCGCGTCAGGACCCAGGGGCGGGTTTGTGCGTCATTGCACCTCCGCCCCTTTCTGCGTTCCGAAAGGAACAGAGCCTGGGGGGAGGGGAGGTGGCCCACAAGCTCCCTCACCTGAGTGTCCTCCGGCCCAGCCCCCCCCAGCCCTGCAGGCCGGGAGGGGCGGCGCTCCAGCCCAGTGGGGAGTGTGCTGCTGTGAGTGCGTCCAGGTGCCCAGAACCCTTCCCTTACAGTCAGGGAAACTGAGGCTCAGAGGGGCCGGGGGTATCTCAGTGGTTCTCACCCGCTTGGCACTGTTTCAATCCCCTCTTTTTTTTAATTTATTTTGTTACGTACAGCGAAAGTCACACAACATAAAGTTAACCGCTTAAACTGAACGACTCCGTGGCACTTCGTGCATTTAGAGTGTGGAACAGCCACCCGCCCGTGCCTGGTTCGGAAGCGTCTTCATCTCCCCAGAGGCGCCCTGTGCCTGTAAAGCCTCGCTTCTCATTCCCCCCCTCAAGCCCTCCTGTAGCAGAGGGGGAAACTGAGGCCGGCAGGGGCTCTCCGCCTCCCCTGCCCCCCCGCCTGCCTCGGGAGCCCGCAGGCCTGGCCCCGCTCGGAGGAGGCCTCCCACCAGGGGGCAGCAGAGAGCCTTCCAGAAGCTGGCAGGGCGTTGCTGCAGAGCCTTCTACCCGCGACCCCAAACTGCCTTCTCTCCGTCGGTCGGTCGCTGGGCGTGGAAAATGGGAGGTGGCCGCACTGTAATTGAAAACAGGACGACCCGATGACCCGCTCTGGGTGCAGCAGGCGGCGGCGGCACAGTAACCCCAGGACAGATGTCTGAGGTCACTGACCGCGGGGAGCGCCCCAGGACCCGGCCTGCGGCCCCCCGTGTCGGCTGCGACTGTTGGGCCAGGTCACTCGGGGGCCACCGCCTGCCCCGGGATCCGCTCCTTCCCTGACCTCAGGCGTGGCCCTCACCCCGCCCGCCGGGCCCGGCCCTCCGCGCCCCCGCCGGGGCCCCCTTGCCCTGGGGCAGCAGGCCTGGTGGTCCCGAGGGGAGGTTCTGTCCTTCAGCTCCTGATCCGCTCCCAGCCCCCCGCTTGGGGCCGGGGACGTGGGGCGAGTTCACTTCCCTGAGCCCCAGCTCCACGGGGGTTGAGGGAGGCTTCCTGAAGCGGAGGGCTCGGGGCCGACTCCTTCTGACGCCTAACACCACGGGACGCACTCCAACAGCCACAGAACTCTGAACCAAGGGCTGAGTCATCTGGTCGGGTCTCTTAGCTTCTCAGACCCTCAGTCTCTTCTTCATGTGCAACCACAACCAAACCTACTTCTAGGTCCTGAGGAAGAAGAGGGAGGAGCTGGGCAGTCAATCCCTTGTTTTCTGGCCAAAGCGAGGAGGGGGCTGGCGGCGGCCACGGGGGCCCCCAGTCCTGCCTGCCCTTCAGAGACCAGGGCCCCAGGCTGTAGACCCAGAGCCCCACACAGCCCAGGAGCCCCACTGCCCCGGCCACACAAGAAGCGGTCTCTGCTGGGTCCGTCGGTCACCTGCGCGAGCGGGCTCACCACGTACCTACTGTGCGTGACTCCGTCCGCTGCTGCAGGCCATGCTCGAGGCTGAGCCGTGCGGGGCTGAGGGGGGAGAAGTGGCCCCTCCAGGGGAGCTCCTGCGCTGGGGATGAGGCCACTTCTCGCCAGGGGTCCCTGGGGACTCTCCCGTCCACCTCCCCAAACAGAGAGGGAAGGCAACCCACCCAGGGTCACACAGCTCATGTCCTAACTTCAGGGCCCTTGGGGCTCCACCCCAGGTGGCTGTCCCTGCCCCCCTCCCTGGAACCGCCTCTGTCCCGGCACCGGCTTCTTACAAGGGACAATGTTGACCCAAGTGTAGGTTGGCCCTGGCTCTGGATAAGGAAACTGAAGCCTGGAGAGGGATGGCGACCATCTTGAGGATGCACAGCATCCGTCGTCCTCGGCAGCCCCCCCACCCGCGAACCAGGGCCTCTGTGGGGGGGGGCACCGTGACTGCCTCTCACAGTCCCTCTCTCGAAGGGAGAGGTGTGTCTCCGCCGCCCTGACAGCCTGCTGGGGCCACGTCGTCCGTGATCACATCTGTGTTCGGGGGGGGGGGGTCACCCCGTGCTGCCTGGGCCTCCAGCGCCTGGCCTGGGCAGGGGGCTGACGGCCGCCGGCTGCGCGGCTCGGGGACCCGGTCTGTGGCCGCAGGGTGGGGGTCTGCGCGGGCCCAGGCTGCGCCTCTCTCCGCCCCGCCCCTGGTGACCTGGAGGCCCCGCAGAGGCGCGCTGCGTGTGCCCGTGGCTGTGCCCTCCGTGAGCCCCAGTGTCCTCGTGCGTGGAGGGCGTGGGGAGAAGTTCCGCCCACGGGGTTAGGATGGTGGGCGCCTAGCGTTGTAACAAACGAGGTCCGGCTGGCCTGGGGCTCACGGGAAGGAGCGGGCCGGCAACGGGCAGCCTGTCAGTGACACGGAGCCGGGTTCACGAGGGGCCGCAGGGCGAGGGCTCCGTCAGTTACTGTTGTGACCATCTGTGTTATGGGGTCTCCCCCGATGGCGCTTTCCCCACACGGAAGGCAGAATCCCAGAATGGCCCTGGAAAGCCCCCTTCCCTGCGTCGGGGGCACGCGCGGGGTTTCACTCCTCGTGGTGGGCTATGTTCCGTGGAAGAGGTGAAGTGGTTTTGCACATGTAGTTATGCCTCATCCGTGGACAGGGTGACTAACAGGAGAGTATCCTGGTGGGCCTGACCTAACCAGGCGATCCCTTTAAAAGAAGGTCCAGCCTTCCCTGCAGGGGGAGATCTGAAGCTGCAGAGAGACTGACTCCCTTATGGCTTTGAGCAAGCAAACTGCCACGGTGTGAACTTCCTATAGACGGGCCATGTTTCAAGGAGCTCAGGGGTCCCCTGTTACTGCCCTCAAGAGCACGGGGACCTCACTCCTGCGTCCCCAAGGGACAGAGTTCTGCCATCAACCCCGTGCTTTGGGAGGGGACCCCAATTCTCAGCTCAAATCACAGCCCCCGCTGACACCTTGACCGTGGCCGGCAGAGACCCTGAGCAGAGAGCCATGCCCATTCCTGACCCCCGGAAAGCACAAGGTAGCAAATGCGTGTTGCTTTCAGCCGGTAAGTTCGTGATAATTTGTTACGAAGTTCAGATACCACACACGCGGCCAAAGGCCAGGAGCCGCACCTCGCAGGAGCCGCGTTCAGCACACTGCTGGCTGCCGGCCCCAGCACCTGTGCGCCTGCCCGTCCATGCTCTCTGGGCTCCCCTAGGCCATGTGCGAGGCCTGGAGGCCTGGCCCCCGCCCCTACAAGTAAGGAAGGGGAGAGGAGGGAGGGCCTGGTGTTGGCTTGGCTGCGGGGCCCGGACTGTCTAGGCCCGCGGGTCTCCCTTCACCGAGCAGAGGGGGGCTGCCCCTGGACACAGGGCACCTCTGTCCCCCAGCTGTGAGCGCGGCCCTCGTCCACCCTCGGCCGTGCTCCCCAGCCCGCCCTCACCTCCAGCCAGAACCGAAAGCAGTTCATTCACAGCCCCTGTGGCTTCGGGCTGGGTTCGCACGCATCCCAAGGAAGAGGGAACGCGGGCCCGGGGAGCCTCCGGGAAACAGGGGCGTCCCCCCCAGAACACGCGGGGTGGGCTCTGCGTCTGTGACGGCTCTGGTGCGCCGGTCTGCAGGGTGGGGGAACCCCCCTGGGGACCCATCAATTTGGGGAAGTGGTGAGGCCAGGGGAGGGCAGGGCGGGGCTTTCAGAGACGTGCAGGGGAGGGAGACAAGCTGGCTCAGGCGCCAGAAGACGGCCCGCCCGGGGGCCCGGACAGGCGGGGGCAGGCCCCTCTCCTCACGCTCTAGGCCGCCCCCCACCCCGGGCGCAGCCCCTGTGCGCATGCAGCCCTGAGCCCGTCCTTCCCTGGGCTCGAGCCCCGCGGGCCAGCAGGGAGGACCCGGCACAGCGTGCTCACGGCCAGTGTGCCCGACTTCCCGGTCCAGCACCACACACACCCCCGCCCCGTTCCTGACTCAGCCTGGATCCTGGAGCCCAGCGCGAGGCTGGGGGGCCCTGACCAAAGGGACATCTGCTTCCCAGGACGCGGCCCAGAGGGTCCTGCCTGGGCGGGGCCGCCCCCCAGCTCTGCCCGGCCCTGGGGGACAGTCCTCCCTGTGCAGGAAGGGACCTGCTTGGGAAGCCAGAGCTCAGTGGAGCCAGAGCTCATCGAGCTGCACCCCAATCTCAGCCAGCACCGCGGGGCGGGCCCACAGGGGACCCCAGAGCCACTCAGGGGCTGCAGAGGCATTCGGGGTCCTCCTCCAGGCCCCGCCGGGGACAGACGCCCTCAGCAAGGGAGACCCGGCCAGCTGACCAGGCTTTCTACCCACAGTGGAGCCCGAACGGGTTCCGTGTGAGTCCACGGGGCCTGGTGGTGCCGCCACTTCTCGTCCACGTGATCTCAAAGGTCACGGAAAACCATCCAACCAAGGAGAAGAAAGAAGCGGGGGCGCCGGGCGGCTCAGTCGGTTAAGGGCCCAGCTCTTGACTTCGGCTCATGGTGATCTCATTGCTCGTGAGTCTGCGCCCCACACCGGGCTCTGTGCTGTCGGCGCGGAGCCTGCTTCAGACCCTCCGTCCCCCTCTCTCGCTCCTCCCCCATTTCCACTGTCTCTAAAAAATAAACTGTTTGAAAATTTTTAATGGTTTTATTTATTTTGTAAGAGAGAGCGAGAGACAGAGCATGCATGGGGGAGGGGCAGAGAGAGAGGCAGACACAGAATCCAAAGCAGGTTCCAGGCTCTGAGCTGTCAGCACAAAGCCCGACGTGGGGCTCGAACCCACAAACTGTGAGATCATGACCTGAGCCAAAGCCAGACGCTCAGCCAACTGAGCCACCCAGGCGCCCCAAATTGTTTTAAATAAGGAGACAAAAATGGCCGCAGCCGAATTACAGCAGCGGAACACACAACGACCAGGCGTGTGCGGAACTGCGGCCCCACCAGCCGTCGGGAGGCTGCGGGTGCAGCCACGGTGAGGCGCCAGCTCACGTGCACGGGAGGCGTTGGCGGTGACACGACACAGGGCCCCGTGTGCTGCTGAGACAGAACTGGCACCACATCAGAGAGCAGCTTCTAGAAAACCCGGGAGGGAAGCGCACGCATGGTCCACGGCGAGCCTCGTGCAGGCGCCCCGGGGGCGTCCAGTGTCGCCCCAAAGCTCCCTTTGTGTCGGCAGGTGTGAGAAGGCCGGTGGATACCGGCGTCCCCTCCCCTCCCGAACGGCTCCGGCCGGTGGTCGTTAGTGCGCAGGACGCAGGCACAGGCCTGGGGGCTCGCCTCTTACCGCGGGCGGGGAGCCCCAGCCCCTCGCGTGACCCAC